GTGTGTGTGTGTGTGTGTGTGTGTGTGTGTTTGTTTGTGTGTGTGTGTGTTGATTGGCAGTTGTAGTGGGATCTTCCTGTGTGGTTTTCATCAAGTGTTTCAGGTGGTTTTCACTGTGACTGATCTTGTTGAATGTGGATGTCTGATTATTTTTGCTCTGAATCTCAAACACTGTCCTCTGATCCTCTAGAATGCTGCCTTTCTGTACGGCCTCGGGATGCTTTACTTCCATTACAATGCGTTTCAGTGGTGAGTATCTGCATGCAGTAACGTGATGAGAACGCCCCGTTTGTCGTTCTCGTTTTGGCTGCTCGTGTAACGAGGTTAACGAGCTCAGATGGGCATCAAAGTGTGGGTGGTCGGTTTCCATGGCGATATCCAGAAGCCCCCCCCTGCACACATGTAGGCTGATTCTGGGAGATTCCTCACTGGTTTAGATTCAGTCTTATTCAGTAGCATCGTGCTGTTCAGAAACGAGTTTTTAATTGCGGTTTGTTTGCTCAGGGCGATCAAGGCGTTTCATGAGGTGCTGTACATCGACCCCGGCTTCTCGCGCGCTAAAGAGATTCATCTGCGTCTCGGCCTGATGTTCAAAGTCAACACAGACTACGAGTCCAGCTTAAAGGTACGACACGAGCATCACACTGCTTTAAAACACATGTAGTGTATGTGCAGTAGTGAATTTGTGATTTACATGAAAACATCTGCAAACTATCAGTTTAACACATCACGGCATCTTCAGTCAATCCTCCCGATGTGATCTCTGACATGTTAACACATACGAGTGACGAGAATCTGTTGACAGACTGAATGAGGCTGAATTATGTCTCATTTAGATAGAGGTCTGAGTCCTGATCTTTACTCGATAGGGACAGCACATTTAGCTTGGTTTCTGTCTCACATTTATTCTGTGTCATTCATTGTTAATGTACAATTGCGCTTTGATTATCATCTTGAACCGAAGTTTCATTCGTAGCTCAGTTTCTCGGATGTATTTGCTGTGTGTTTGTGGTTAAACTCTTTGACTTGCGTTAATGAACCGCAGTATATGTAGTCTTTAATGTTGTGAGGCATTGAAAGTGTCTTGAGTTAAGATGTCAGTGTGGTACTGAGAGGTGTGAGAGGTCACTTGGTCTCCTGTGTGTCCGCAGCACTTTCAGCTGGCCCTCATCGACTCCAATCACTGCACTTTGTCCAAAGCGGAGAGTAAGTACCGCACCCACATCTCAAGATAATGCCACCATTACACAACAAACACTGTGACTGTGTTATCAGTTTAAACAGCAGATTATTAGTGGTGTTAGTTAAGGTAGCCCTCACTAGTACTGATGCTGTTCACACTAGTAGCAGTAAGTAGTGAAGTGTGTGTGAGTACAGTGTTTGCTCCGGACGAGAGCGTGCTGCTGTTTACTGAGTGATCAGACTAACCATTTTCACCTGCTGGACCGTAACACAGCTTGAAACCCCACAGACGACATTATGATGCGTGTTAATAGCTTATTTAAACTCTTTAACCTTTAATGCTGCCTTTGACTCTCAATGGAAAAAAACGTACGGCTCCGTTTACAGCAGTTATTATCATCCCTTCATATTCTCAAACTCATATTGCCTGCGACCGGTTGCCTTGGAAACACCAATAGCAGCGGCCGCTGGCATAGTGTTTGTGATTCTCTCTCTCGCTCACTCACACACACACACACACACACACACACACACACTCAATTTCTCTCTCTCTCTCTCTCACACGCACACACACACACTCAATCTATCTCTCACACACACACACTCAATCTATCTCTCTCTCTATCTCACACACACACTCAAACTATCTCTCTCACACACACACACACACAAGCTCGATCAGGGCCGTCTCACCTCCACTGGACAAAGGAAGATGTTGTTTCTTCTCAGAAACATTTAAATAGAGAATCTTCTGTTCTGAATTTGCTTCTAACTGTTGTCTTTGTGTTTTTGTTTGTAGTTCAGTTTCACATCGCGCATTTATACGAGATCCAGGTGAGTCCTTCATTAACATCTCTTTCTTTCACTGACCGCACGTGTTAACCAGATCTGCCTGTGATTAATGTTAGTGCATGAGATTGTGGTTGTGAAGCGGATGCTGGAGCTTACTGCTCGGGCCATGTTACCATAGCAACAGGAGAGGGGTTGCCGTGGTGTTGCCGAGGCATCCCTCCTTCCTTCCTGTTCACCACAGTGACGTCACGCAGACGCCGCTAGAGCAGGGTTTTGTTTGAGTCCGTGTGTTTGTGATGGCAGAGACTCGGCGTGTTTACCGGTTAGTTGATTAATGAATGTCCTGTCTGGTTTTGTGGCGTCCCAGAAGAGATACCGTGCAGCCAAAGAGGCCTACGAGAGTCTCCTGCAGACGGAGGACTTACCTGCGCAGGTGAAGGCGGCGACCTTACAGCAGCTGGGTAAGAACATGCACACACGGACTGGACACGCTACACCATTAGCGCCTGTGTCTGCTCACAATCTGTTTAAGTGCCTCGTAATATAAAAGAATTTCAGCTCGTCCAGTGCTGGGATAAATGTTATAAATAAACTCGATGTAAATCTGGTAAACCTGAGAGCTCACACTGCAAAAAAAGGCTGATCTTAGTATTTTTGTCTTGTTTCTAATCAAAATATCTATAAATTATTAGGGTTACCTAACCCTTAATTAAGAGTCCTGTTTGTAAGGGGAAAAAAATAAATTAAGTGTGATATTATCTGCCAGTGGGGTAAGTAAAATTATCTTGTTTTAAGAGTATTCTACTTGCCCCACTGGCAGATAATTTCACTTGTTTTAAGCAAAATACACTTCATTTAGTTTTTTTCCCCTGTAAACAAGACTACATTTAGTAAAAGCATCTTAATTTAAGAATCTTTAGATATTTTGACTAGAAACAAGGCAAAAATGTGAAGTAAGATGAGCCTTTTTTTGCAGCATGACAGATGCAGAGATACCAGAAAAGCTGTTTATCTGCAGCAGAATCATCAGTGGCTCGTGAACAGCTCTTCACCTGCGAGTCGAGAAGCTCGTTGTTCGCTTTCGAACTGAAGCTACTTTAACAAAAATGTAAATGCATCACTGATCGCTCGGTTTGAGGATAGAGTCTGAAGTGTCCTCTGTGGTAATGATCGCAGACCACAGAGTAGTTAAGCTGAGTTTCACCAGGTGTTCTGCATCTGTCAGCCGTATGCGGTTTATTCTGTCTAAAAAAGAGTGTCTCTGTCTGTGGCAGGCTGGATGCATCATACGGTCGAGCAGCTGGGAGATAAAGCTAATAAGGACAGCTACGCCATCCAGTGTCTCCAGAAATCTCTGGAGGCCGATCCGAACTCTGGCCAGTCCTGGTATTTCCTCGGCAGGTCAGTCACACGTCTGCGTCTGCGCATGCGGTCCGTTCGGTCGGCCGTGACGCCTGCGTTTATGCAGATGTGGTTTCTCTCTGCAGGTGCTACTCCAGTATTGGGAAGGTCCAGGATGCGTTCATCTCATACAGACAGTCCATAGACAAATCAGAGGCCAGCGCAGACACGTGGTGCTCGATCGGGTGCGTATCTGTCAGATCCATCAGAACTGCTGATGTTTACATGAAGAGCTCTTCGGCCATCGTTACTCGCACTCATGTCACACTTTTATAGCTGAAATTTAATCTTCAGCTCTATTCTATGCATTAACACTTTGATATCAGTTTTAGTTTTAATCACAGTGTTAGTCTGGTTAATCCTGTATGTGTATAGAATGCGTTAATTAACTTGCTAGCAAAGCATTTTTGCATTTTTATATGCCTCCCTTATCAGACACACCTGATTCATGTCTTGCAGTCTCTACTAACTAGCTGATGAGCTGAATCAGGTGTGTCCTCGGGGATTACCCCTGCATTAATAACCCCTGGATTAGATTACCATGACATTCGGTGTTCATCTTGTCAGTGATGTCGAATGTTGTGGCGGACGCTTGACATGTAATTTGTAGTGAATAATGTCTTACATGTGGCTCTGTTGGTTAGGGCTGTGCAATTAATCGAAATACAATTTCGATTTCAGCCTCCAACAATTCGGAAAATACAATAATCGAGATAAAGCGATAATTGCGCCACATTCCGCCTCGTTTCCAGTGGTGCACTTTCGCTCCTCCATAAAAGCCCAGCTTCACCTGCAAATCAGTAAAATCATGTGACTTTTGCAAAATGGGACGTGCTTGATTTATTAAAGTTGATTAGATTTATTCATGTTTTTAAAAGTGCAGGATTTCTGTGCATGCGCTCAGAGACGGAACAGAACACGGTCGTCTTTTAGCACCTAAACGGTCAAATACATGCGGAAATGTGTCAAAATGCAGTGCTTGGTGAGATTAGTGACTTTTTTTATTACTGACAGTTTAATTATTTTCAATAATATCAGAAGAGGAAACGCCTGTATCTTCCCTTGTAATGACTAAACCTGTTGTCCAACAACAAAAAAGAACATTATAACATGCTTTTACTCCACAACATCAGACAAATGTTTAAAATAATTTCCTTCTTGATCTGATGTGGCTTCTTATCACAGAATGATGCAGAAATATATTATACTGTAATAACGGCGATTAGCAGTGGATTATAAATATACTTAATTACCCGACAGATAAACATTGTCTTAGTAGAGTGTTTTTTGTCTTAATGTTCTTTTTGAATGTCATCATTCGAAGCGTTTCTGTCTTCTTTCCTTCGGTTGCATGATAGCAGGATGCTTTTGTCCATATTAGTGATTTCCTGGAGCGTCATCAGCTCTATTTCTTCTGTAGTGCATATCTGGATTTTCTGCGCGAGGGACTGAAACGCATCACGTGTTCACAGCACAAAATAATAGGGACGCACCAAAATGAAAATTCTGAATGCACTTGGCCGAAACCGAAAATGCTTTATATTATTTAATAAAATAATAAATAATCATTACAAAGTAATTTTGTAAGACTTTTTAATTTAACTAATCACTTTAATGATACTGAATTTAAAAAACACAAGCAATAAAATAACCACACTTTTACTGAAAGTAACAATAAAACTGGACAGAATTTATATTAATATTGGTAACACTTTACAAAAAGGTTAACTTTAACTAGTTAACATGAGCTAAGAATGAACAATAGTTCTTCAGCATTTACTAATCTTAGTTCATGTTAATTTCAACATTTACTAATGCATTATTAAAATCAACAGTTGTGCTTGTTAACAGTTAATGCACTCTGAATTAACATGAACTAACAGTGAATAACTCTATTCTCATTAACTAACATTAAGAAAGATTAATAAATACTGTAATAAATGTATTGTTCATTGTTCGTTCATGATATTTAATACATTAACATTAACTAATGGAACCTTATTGAAAAGTCACATTAATATTAAATATCAATATATTATTTTTATTCACTTCTATGTAACAGAATCAGATATAAGTTGTTGTTTTTTTTGACTAATTATACAAATAATGTATAGTCCTACAAAACTATTATTATCAGAGCATAGCGTCACTGAAGGTAGCATTATTTTAGCAGCGTTGTCCAGTTCAGCTGAACTAGCCTACAGCTTGTTACAGCACAGGAGCGCTACTGCTAACAGGAACAAGTATACTGCATAGAAATCTCCTGTCAGCGCGTTATTTGAGCGGACTTTGCTCTTTCTGTGAGGATGAGCGCTACACGAGCACATTCATAGAACGTCAAACCGAGCAGTGACGAGGAGAGTGCCATATATATCATATATATATATATTATCGGCTCGTATTTTCGGCCATTTTTCTATTTCAGCCGAAAAGTGTTATAATGATAATAGTGTTTTTTTTGACAGTATACAGAAGTGTACTGGAGTTTTAATTAGTGTTGTGGAGTGTTGTTTTTTTTAATAGCATTTAAAACTGTGGTAAAAACAAACGGAGGTATTTATTGAACTGTGGGCTAACTGTATTGTTGCATCCCTACCGTTTACTCTAAAGTACTGTATAACAGAAATATCATAGACCCAGAGTATTAACTTATGAAAAATATTTAACATGAAATCTTGCACCCCCCCCTCCCCCCGGCCACACTGATGGCACTCAAAAAAAAATTTCCAAGGTTGGCAGTTCTGGATATATATCACTATCTTTAAATAAATCATTCATAAAGGTTTGGTCATACGGCCCACTCAGAATCCTGTTAAATAATCATGATTACAGTAATGACCAGAATAATTATAATACATTTTTTTGTCATAACTCTGCTGGTAGTGCAGCGCATCAGGTGCTGTGATTCTTCCAGAATGAATCTTTTGTTTGACGGCAGTAATATCACGACATGAGGACGAGTAAGCGATGGCACAACTGTGGTTTCTGACCCACTGCCTCATTGTGTCTGGTTTGCTCTGTTAGCGTGCTGTGGTACCCACAGTGACGTTCAGTGGTAGTAAAGCTCTTCTATAGGGATGAGTGAGTGCTGAAGGTGTGAGGGAGTTGTGCTTTATCAACGCTGGCATGAATTCACACACCACTGCGTGATGTAATACAAAAACCTGAAACTTAAGATGCTATCCTCCCCTCATTCCCTGCATTATTGGGCATTTTTTCAGCATGACAATGAAGATATTCATTCTCCCAAGGTGAAAATCCTTCAGTGGACATGTATTTCACTCAATCTTAACACTCTTGAGCTGCTGTGAGAGATTCTTCTCTCTCTCTCTCTCTCTCTCTCTCTCTCTCTCTCTCTCTCTCATATACACACACACACATCTGGTGAAACCACGCTCCTGCTCGCCACGTCTTCTGCTCATTGTGGCACGATAACGATCGGATTGAACAAAGTGTGTCGGGATTGGAAATATTTTGGGAATCGTTCGGTTAAAGCATCTGTTGAGTCGATCAGTAGCGTGGTTTCTCTGCGTGAGCTTCAGTAGTCTAGCGCTGCACAATCACACTCCTGGGTCAAAAATGAGTTTGACGCCAATGTCTCTTCAATTGGCAGCAGGTTCAACAGGAGCCACAGGCGCCTCATCTTGCCGTTTTTCACCCAGAGTTGTGTTTGTGCTGTAGTTTTAGTCCTGTAGTCTTTGTGCCCTCTAGTGTTGCAGTTCCACACAAAACACTGATGCAGTCCGGCTGGAGTAGTTACAAGTCGAGTGTGTGTGTGTGTCTGTGTGTGTGTGTGTTCATGACAGTACAATGAGACGTGTTTTTCTCTCTCATTGATACTGATGCTCTCGCTCATAATAAATGTTTTATTTGTTTTTGCATCTTTTCTCTTCAGTTGTTGTTTTGGAGGGGGGGGGCAGTTCAAATTCTCACATACGTTTTGGGCAATAAGTTGAATGACCGAGGAACAGAAGATCTTCAAATTGTTGCCATATGATCCTGATGGAGACAACCAAAAAGGATGTGAGGCTGTGTCTTTGCAGCACTTGACCTGATATCTACATTATTGAAACGATGCCCTGTGCATAGTTTGTCGTTATTCCAAACTATTTTTGATCAGAATCACTTCGTGTTTTACTCCATTAACAACATAAAACCGGCTCATCAAACAGGGTTTGTGTACTATTTCATCTTTGTGGAAATCGTTTCAACTGAACGTGATCTGAACGAATTGATCCCGTGAACCTCACAAAAGACCTTGACAAGGCCTCTGCTAAAGACCTCAAACGTGAGCCACACTCAAGCTGTAAATGTTGAATATCATGATGTATATATTGAATATCATAACATCTGAGAATCGGCACCGCTGCTCTGTTCCTCACCTGACCGCTGTCTTTAGTGGAGGAATATGATTTAACTTTTACATGTGTTGTTTGAGTTTGAGATGGTTATTGTCAGCTGCAGGTGTCGTAGTGTTAGCTTCAGCATCACAATCGAACACACTCTCTCTTCACTGGTGTAGATGTTCTCTCTCTGTCTGTCTCTTCACGTGTCTGCGGTCTCTCTCAGGCATGTAAAGCTCAGCCCGGGTCGTCAGGTGAGGCTCATGGCTCCGGTCAGTCGCTGCCCCCCCACGTGAGTGCGCTGGATCAGGCTGAGGATCAGTCCAGTCCAGCCAAGAGGGAGAGGACCGCCAGCCCAGCCAAGGTTTGTGCTTCGTTTGCTCCGCTAAGCGCATCGCTGATATAATGACAGCAGTAATAATCTCTTCACGTCACTCCTCAGAGTTCTTCAGAGGCTTGGACCCACAGTTCAGCACAGCCACGAGCTCCCAACTGGTACCTGTCTCCTCAGAAGCTGCAGGTGAGAGCATGATGAACACCTCATTAGGGATGGAACGATTACTGGTTTGATGATAAATCATGATAAAATTCCCCACAGTTAGTATTGTAACGTTGGCGCAGTTGCAGCTTGTACTTATTAAAACAAATAGAACAAGAAACAAGTAGCATTAATAGTCATTTAATTTAGTTAACATTTGCTATGATAAGTTTGAACAGATTTTTATTCTTATTGTAAAATAATAGAACATTAGGTCATGAATATTTTCTCAAAAGTCATGGAAATGTATTGGTAAAAACGTGTGCGAACCCTGCCTTGGGCAGTGACCGGTGAGCTGCTTCTCACACAGGAGATCTTCCAATCTGTTTTTCTGATGTGACATCCATGATCGTTACTGAGCTGTTTTGGGTTGACCACCTTTATTGTGAACGCTGATGATTATTGTCAGTGGTTTAATCCGTCGGTCACTCTTCGTCTTGTTCCGCTCAGTTGCTGGAGCAGTTGCGAGTCAACCGTGCGAGTCTGAAGCCGCTTCAGCTGCAGATGTTGGAGCAGTTGGAGGCTCAGCTGTCAGCCATGCACCAGCAACAGGTACATCAGACCAGGACTCACGAAACCGTCTGAAGAAAAGAGTTTGAGTCATGAGAAGTGCATTTGAGAATTCTTCAAACTCGCGGTTCTCTGTGATGCATCGTCTTCTCAAGACTGTGGTGACACAATGATTTTAAGGCTGTTTGTTTGACTTGCACATTTTTTTTTTACCCGTAAGTTTACAGTTGGATGTAATTTTTGCCTGCAGTTGAAGCAAAGCTCTTCTGGGCAAATACGAGCCAGCCTCCCCAACGGCCCCTCACTGCCTGCTCACCCCGCTCCGCCGTTAGCCAACGGCCCGCAGCCCCCTTCAGTCGGCAATAATCACACGCCAGGAACCAGAACCAACGGAGACGTGCCTTACCTGCACCCCAACACACTACCTCACAACTGCACAAGCCCAGGAGACACATGGAGGAGCCAGCGTCTCAACTCCGCTCAGGTATGCACTTGTACTCAAAACTGAGAGTTCAACACAATATAGAACAAACATGTGGTCATGACCCCGCCTCCTCCTGCACACCTCAGACCTGACAGGAACGATGAGATTTTCAGACATTGATCCATAAGTGATAATCTTTAGAGTCGAAAAATATCTCATCTAATGTACTTCAGCTTCAGTATTTAAAAAAACAAGACAACTCCTGAGCATTAGAGACATGACTAAAAACCTGTGTCTGAATGATGCGATCACAAGCAAATAATCTCATCACGTCTTTTCATTTTCACATTTTGTGTGGAGTGCGTTGAAACTTAGCAACACGCTTCCTGAATTACAAACCCAAAAGCAGCGTTTATCACTTTCTCTCCTCGTTTATGTTTGAGTTGACTTGAGCTTAATAATGGCACTATTGTTTTTTCGATCTGAGTGTGATCTGACTCCATTATTGAGTTTCCATTGATTCTGGTGGTGGTGACTTCTGAATTTCCTCCCGATTCAGGGGCTTCAGAAAGGTCCGGGTTCGCATTGGGCAGGTCCTAATGGAGACCGGATTCTCTCTTCCAGTGCTTCAGCCGACGGCGGCCCTCACAATCAGGTTGGACTTCCCGCCACGACCCCATCGGAGCCAGCTGTCAATCATCTGTCCTCTCCTTCCTCCACGTCGTCCCCCGCTTCTTCCTCCTCGCAAACGGCTACCTCAGGTGCGCCCCACGGCACCAGCCCGACCAAAGAGAGCGCCGCCCTACAGGCCAACGGTTCCACTGCCACCAACCACCACAGCCCCGACCGCTCCAGCGCCTCCTCGCCCGCCTCGTCCCCATCGCCCCGCTGTGCTGCGCCGGCCGCCGTTAACGGGAGCGGAGGGGGAGCGTGTTCGGAGGACTCTCAGAGCCCGCTGAAGCTGGAACCGCTGGAGCTCTGCATCAAAGCAGCTCTCAAACCGTCTCGCTCGTCCTCCACCGTCTCCATTTACCCCACATCCACAGACGTCCTGAAGGCCTGCAGGTACGCCGAGCTCCTGTGGAGTGATGAGAGCATCGGCGCCCTCTAGTGGCGGCCTGTTGTTTAAGAGCTCACCTTTGAATGCTAAACATTTCCTGACAGTTTGCTCACCCCCATGTCATCCTACATGTTCATGTCTTTTCAAGTCGTAAAGAAATTACGTTTTTTTTTTAGGTAAACATTCCAGGATTTTTCTCCATATAGTGGACTTTAATGGTGGCCAGTGATTTGATCGTCTAAAATGCAGTTTCAATCAAAGAGCTCTACATGACCCCAGCCGAGGAATAAGGGTCTTATCTAGCGAAACGTAGCACAGTGATGAACAATAATAAAACAACGATGTTGGATGATTTTAAAGTTGGAGGAGAAAATGAGATGGAGTTTTTAAACAAAGTACGAAGATGAAGAACTAGCCGCGTGTAGGGCTGTCGCAGTGAGAGAATTTCCCTTGTGGTAATTTTGAGTGGCTCAATAGCGCGGTATAACGAGAAGGGCATAACCTTACGAAAAAAGAAAACACGCAAAAATCGCGGTTGCTGCGGTTTTTGCATTCCTCTGCGGTTTGCTCGTCAATAGCGCGGTATTGCGATATTGCGGTTATCGCGGCAGCCCTAGCCGCGTGTGACCTTTCCAACATCAGCTAATAAAGACGCGCATCACAGAGCTAACGCTAGCCAAGCATTTGTGGTTAAAAAGTGTATACTTATTTTTTTGAAAATGACTGATGGTTTCGCTAGATAAGACCCTTATTCCTCGGCTGGGGTCGTGTAGAGCTCTTTGATTGAAACTGCATTTTAGACGGTCAACTCACTGGCCACCATTGAAGTCCACTATATGGAGAAAAATCCTGGAATGTTTTCCTCAAAAAACGTGATTCCTTTGCGACTGAAGAAAGAAAGACATGAACATCTTGGATGACATGGGGTGAATAAATTATCAGGAAATGTTTATTCTGGAAGTGAAATTATCCTTTAAAGGGGTCATATGATGCTGCTAAAAAGAACATTATTTGGTGTATTTGGTGTAATGAAATGTTTATGCGGTTTAAAGTA